AGGGGAATCTTATATCAAGAAGTTACCAATCAGCAGTAATTATGACACAACACAGAGTATTTTATTCTAGACTGTGCTTTATTATTGGGCTAAGCTGAGACGCATCATTCATTTAGAATTACAAAAGAAGAGTCCAGGGGACCAGAGAATGGTGCAGTCTGGAGAGACGGGGGCGGGAGCCTAAAGCGTGCTGCCCATCAGAAGCTTGGCTCATCAGGAACCTGGCAAAGCTTAATATGCAACATTCATCACCCCCCTCCATATGTGCTGAAATTGGGAAATAGATTTCCAGAACACTTTGAAAACCACATGAAGTAAAATGTGATTCTAGCAACACTACTGAGCCTTAGAAATAAAAATCACTGATAACAGCACCGAAAAAAAAAATGATAGGAACTCAAATTTCTTTTGGATGAAATAGTGCAGTTTTCATTGAATTTAGTTCTCGGTAGAACACGTGAGTTGAACAAGATCAGAGCTCTGTTGAACAAAATGAAGCACAATGGGGAGAATAGGAAGGGAAGGGAATACAGTTTTCAAAAGTTGTTTACAATAAACCAGACATTAGTTCATTAAATATTAGCAGCAACTTATACTGACCTCAAGGCGTCTCTTCTGATTGAACAGTTGATTTAAGATGTGTTTAACTAGGGATTACTATTTCCCCCACTTTGCTTAACGGTGGCATTTTATTTTGAAACGATCTTTTAACAAAGCTTTTCCTTTTTTTTTTTTTTTTTAAATGAACAGAACAGTATGCATTTATAATTACAAATATACATAAGGCTTTAGTGTTGTACTGCATTGTTGTGAGTAGTTTGCAAGCCACAGGAAAAATGTAGAAGCAGTCTTAGTAGTGGTTAAACTTCCAATACTTGAGCGGTAAGATGTGTCGCGATTCAAGGTTAACGCTTGCAAGAAAACAGATCAGTGTCAGTAATGAGAGCTCAGATCTTGGCTCAAACAGCACAAATAAATAAACAAATAAATAAACAGACAATGAAATAAATAATTCAAATCTGTCTTTGACATCACTTGGTCAAAAGGAGCGTTTTTCTCCGTCATCAAAGAAGTTCTGAAGGCATGGTCCTGCAGACAGGAACAATGATCATCTGTGGACCACAACAGTGGCCCATGCATGTCATATAAAAACTATTTGGTCACGTACCAACTCATAAAAAAATAATGCCATGAAAGCATGCTTATCATTTCAGACATGACTTATAAATAAATATCTAAACAAACAGATAAATGAATAGAACCCATTAAAGTATTTCTTTTTTGTTTTGTTTTTTATAAAATAGGTCAATGTGTGTCTAAGCTCTAACTGAGGTCAATGCTCTCCCTGACTGTATTCTGGATAAATGCCTTGGTCAGGTCCTACAGTTTGTACCGTATCCTAGCGAATATTTTTTTTTGTACCTGGTTTTAATGAGCATTATCATGTTTTCATTCATATATTTTTTTTTAAGTATTTAAATTACTTTATCCAGTCCTTGTAGATAGAAGTAAAAGTCCTATAAAATATGCAAACCTATGTACAGAGGAAAACAGAGCAAAAAAAGAAACAATTTACAGTATATTCATCAGTTTATGTATATATTTATATATATATATTTATATTCAAACTTCCTCTGTTTCTTGTTTTTGAACCACTAAACTTTGTTTTTCACTTTTCTCATGTAAACTTGCAGCTTAAAGTTGGAGCAAATGAAGATGAGCTGGTTGGCATTTGAGTTCTCGCACATCTTTCTGCGTCTGCTTACTTCGTTCGCCGTGGGAAAAAAATGACTGATTGCTCAAACAAATCATACGAGAAGCACAGACTGTGATGGCAGTTTTTTTTCTTTCTAATTTTCTCAGAGCAGCGGGGCAGTCAAAAAAGGGCACACAGTGCTGCGATCAGGGACACCAGACATATGATATTTTGCCTCGGATGTTATTGTTAGACAGAGACAGGTCAGGTTGATGAGCTAGAGGTTTCGTACTAATCCACCAAAGTTAGTGGAAGAAAAGAACAAAAAAAGAGATCTCGATGGTCATCTGGTTTAACTGTATGCCACGCTCAGGAGATTGTTAAGTGGCACACACACAAACAGAGGCATTCTGGGATGTGCACTGGTGTCTTTTAGACTCACTGGATTTGGAAGGTAAATGTTAAATTATTCAAACTGCTAAAAAGGTTAAACAGAGACACTGGGGAAATGGCATAATGAGAAGTTTATAGGAAAACTAGTAACAGCACCCAACAGGAAGCATAGTCTTCCAAAGTGTCATATAGCCTTATAAATATTCATATATATAAATATTCATTGAGTAATCTCCACCAGCTCAATAAGTGTTGAATGCAGGGTCTAATAAATCCAAGTCTGTTGACCTTTTTCAGGTTTATAGTAGGTGTTTATACCATTTTTGTAGACTATTATGAGAAACTACGCTAAAGCAATATGAAACCAGCCTCGGTGATACAGCAGGCGTAATGGGTAAATGGTTTTTCACACTTATTGCTTCATTTTACAGTTTCATTAGAGCTTTTATCTTTATATATATATATATATATATATATATATATATATAATTGCATGAAGACTTAACGTAAGGCAATATAACAATTTCTAAAAGATATGCTTCATGTCAAGTATAAATCCTTTTTTTTTCTGTTCAAAGGGAAGCCAGCTCTATGACATATTCATCAATATCACATCTCCTTCACAGCCATTAACCCTCTCAGGCTCAAACTAAGTTTTTGTTGCTAATGCACAAAAGAATACCTGCAGTGGTACTTCTGAGTAAAAATACCTCATAAAATATGTATGTGGGGTAATCAGGTTGTTAGCTTTTAAGTGTTACAAATCTGCAACGCCTGCCTTGAGAGGGTTAAAATCCTCCTTGGTCCAGTAAGCTCAGTCGCATCCCTTATCAAGCCCCATTGTGCCCATTTCAGCCCTGATTTTTACCCTTTATTACCTTCCAACTAGTGGAACTTAGTCTCAGGTGCCTTGCACACAACTTGAAAAGTTAGTGCCTGTGCTAGAAGGTTACCTAATGCCCGCTTTTGTTTGAAGTTTGAAGTGGTATCGCATGAATCTACATTAGACCTAAATGCTTTCACCCCCCCCAAAGACAATGATGGACCAACAGTGCTTGGACAATTTTTGTTATATTTGACATGCACTGAAGCTCTCTACGCAGCTGAAAAAATGATATGGATCAGGCTGTAGTTTTGACATCATAATAGCGCGCTGGCTACTTGCAGTAGTGTGTGTGTGTTCAGTTTTTTTTTCTTTGTTTTCTGAGAGCACAGTGCTTGATGGCAGATTCTGCAGGTGACAAGGCACACCTTGACATGGTGACAGCCCATACGCTACATGCACTTTACTGAATGCAAAAGAGAGCAAGGGTTGTGAGACATTTTCATTTTGGTTCAAGTTTCAAAGAGAAGTTTGTGTGTGTATGCATGTGTGCGTGTGTGTGTGTGTGTGTGTGTAAGCTCAAAAGATATGTTTGGAATAGAGTCGAAGATAATTGTCCTTTTCCTCTAAAATCATCTAGCCTGATTCTCTTAAAGCCTGCTACTGAGATTGGCTTTTTGCATTTTCAGATAATATGTACACCATATGTGTTTCATCACACATGAATCTTTTTAGCAATATATTGTGTGTCAGCATATAGGTAATCAGAGAAAGGAATGCCTGCAGTTTTGGGAGCTGCCAGATTTGCGATTCTTCCCAAGCAGAGCAATGCTTCAAACTCCAGCTAAAATCTACAAAAAAATTACAGCTCAACATAGTCAGTAGCCGTTCTATATACAGACACACATATATAAAATATGTGCATATAAATACATATATTTGTGATTAATATCTATTTATCCATATATACTGTATATATGAATACATTTGCTTGAATGCCTGTTATACATATATATGTACTGCAAATATAAACAAGTTCATATATTTCAAACATTTCTGATGTTATTCTATCTATGAGGTTAGGATGTCAAGTTAAAAAAGATAAGGCTGTGATACAGAGCAGCCCCTCCCATGCACTCGCCATCCCTCCCGAGACAAAATGAGAAGAGAAAAAAATAAACATTTTGAGTAATTGTAAACTAGCGAAGTGAGAGACCCCATTTGGTCATCTGAAATAGTTTTGCCTGTATTCAAAAAGCATATCAGCAATATATATGTATATATACATGTGTTGTATATATTCGTAATGTACACTTCTTTTAAGTGCAACTCCCCAGCCACGCTGGCTGACAGAGATGCAGTGGTCCGAGTATATTAGAGCTACAAGTCCTCAGCAATAAAAATGTTTGGTCTTTTGGTCCCTAAAACAACTAAGGAATGATGGATAAGACTCCCTGGAGACTGTTGCTATGGCGCTCCTCGGCAACGGTATCCCCTGGAAACGGACAGGCACTCCGAGCTAAAGATGGCCATCCCAAATCGAAGCCAATCTGTGTCGTGAAAATGTCACATTCCTACTTAAGTTCTCTCTCAGAGAATTTGTCCCTTCTTGTTTCAAATCTTAAAAATTGGTCTTCAAAACTCAATTGCTCCACACTATCTTAATGAAAGATCTCCTACGGCAATCCGCTATTATGTTTTTTGTTTGTGGTTTTTCTTGTGGTTGTTTTTTTTTTTTTTTTTTTTTTTTTTTATTTTTTTTTTCAAAGTTTTGTTCTTGTTGGACTTTTGACATCCGTATTCCTTTCAAGAGTTCAGCGGGGTTGGTCATTGTAAGGAGGTTTGATGTAGTTTCTTTTACTTTTTTCTCCTCCTTTCTTTGTTCAAGTAAAAGTTTTTGTGGTCCAGAAAAGGTAGCTGTCATTCAAGCAGGGTTTTGTGGGGAAAGAAGTGTGTATATGTGTGCAGAAGAGGGGAAAAAAAGTCCTGGGGCTAACCAGGCTGGTACAAATTCACTCTGAGTTCCAAAGTTTTAGTACATCCAAAAAGGAGGTGTCCTTGACTCGGTCATCGCTCTCTCTCTCTCTCCTCTGTTTTCTGAAGCAGCCTCAGTGGTCCAGATGTTGAGTTTGCACTCAGTGGTGGGTAGCAAATAATCAACAGCTCAACAAAACCTGAAAAGCACAGAAGAAAAAGGGACTGTTTGAGTAAAGGAATGTGTGGAGAAACAACACAAGGTTTCACGTTTTGCACCTCGATGCATTGATGCTTGCACTTTTCCACAGGATAGCCACTGGCTCGAGCTTTTCTGCAGATTGCTTAGGTTCCTAGAAGTATCCCACGAAAACTGCACTTTGATACCAGCAGCTGTGGGGTTTGAAGGTGTGTCTAGCTTTGCGGTTCATTTGTGCACTTGCTTGGATCTGATTTAGATAATTGAATGAGACAGCTAGGTCGCTTGCCGTTGAACTTTCATTACACATTTCTACATTATACCGGAAAACAAGAAAAATGACGGAGAGATATTTGCTTTGATTTTTAAATTAATTTTTCTTTGGAAGCAATGACGTCACCAGTGTTGTGTGTTCCTTCTCTGTTGATTTTTGCTGTATTTACATGCAGATGGAGCGGTGCAGAATACTTAACAGGACACCTGCCTCTCTAAAGCGTCTTAGCCAGCACTAAGACTCTAAGTCCTGGTGTGGATAAACAAAGATCATTTTGCTGAGACAATTTTCAAAACAAATCAGTGCTCATCCTGCAGTGAATTAATCTGGCTTCCTGGCTGCAGCTCCGTTGTTATCTTCTACGCGATGAAACAAATTTTTCGTTTCTATTAAAAAACAAACTCTTCAATCCTGTTTTTGAAATGGTGAAGGGATTCTAATCGAGACACACCTTACCGTGTCATTAGATGTTAAATAAGAGTACTCTAGCTTGCTGTTGTGCCAACAGTGTGTTATTATTCTATTTTATTCTATTTTTATTTTTTTAGATGATAATACCAATAGTAAAGCTGGTGATGCAAGTCGAAAAGCAGCTCGCTAATCAGTTGAGAGCGTAATGATGCTCTGGGAAAAAAAAAAAGGAAATCAGAAGATGTTTTCTCCAACATTCAGTTTAAAAAAATCATTTTACATATCAAAAGGAGTGGCGGCACACATTTGATGACAAATTCATATGAGATTGCTCTTCCACCTGCAGTGATTTGCCTCAGGACACTGTCTGGTATGGTTCAGTTAGTTTGTGAGTGGGTGATAAGTTGCCCTTGAATGAAGTCATCAGTAGTGAATGAACGACACAGCCTAAACTCTCCATCACACAGATGAAGGGAGGAGACAAAGAGGAACAGCACAATTACCTGCCTGAGGGGTAATAAATGCCTCTCCCTTGGAAGCACTTTCTTCCCTGTGCAACATGCTGAACCATTTACCAATTATCTTTTACCTACGAGGTAACATACAGGGTCATTTACTGTAAAGTCGTTCTGCAAATAGAGGAGGCTACTTTTTTCGGCCAGCCTGGAAGCTGACATCAAAACAAGGTTTCACTTTCAGTATAGATAGACACGTCTTATGGTTCACAATTACATTTAACATCTTATATTCTCAATATGTTTTAACTAGTCTGCTTTGCCCCCTGTGTGTGTGGGACATTTCCGTTAGCGCTGTGCATCACAGCACTCTTGTTTTCAGCGAATGATGCACGGAGCTAAGAGTGTTTTCCGCCGAAGAAGGCGATGTGAGTGACACTTGTTTGCCCAAGAACACACGGCGCTCTGGCGAGAGTGTTGTTAGGTGTGTGTGCTGCACGTGAGGCACTGTAACACAGCTGTCAGCAGGTTAAAGCTGCAGGAGTTTTAGACAATGCAGTCGCTGCTGAAATTCCCTGAAATGTCACGTTTCACTCTCAGCTTGTCTTGGGAAATATCTGCATGTGACTAATGATAACAAAAAAAAAAAATCATTATTGTCATCTTCAATAAAGGGTAAGACAACAGCTGCAAAATTTCCTCTTGTTCTTTAGCAGGAAAAACGATTTAATCATTTCACTGTTCAATGAAAACATGAGCATGCTCAGTGAGTGCTTTCATGCACAACAGTGAACACAATTGGGGATTAAAACGAAGAGTTTCTCAACGAGGCTGAATCAGAGGATCACAAGATACTGAAAAAGCTGAAAACTGATGTTGATGCTTCTGCATTAAAAGCATTTTGTGTAGTGGAAATCATTACTACTGTACAAGTATACCAGTGCATCATCCAAAAACGTTTTGACTATCATGTAAAGATAAAAAACAAACAAAACATTTTTAACATGAAGAGGAATAGTCCTTGAATCAAAATCTCTAATTGTCCTGCATGGATGCTGCATTCTCTGAGGTAAATAGTAGAAGTGTAAAAGCATCTCAGATGGTATAGGTTTGTAAATGCTTTTGTACATCACATGGATAACTTGAACATCTGAGACTTGGTGGTAGTGAATGTTACAAAGAGGTTTTGAAGCAACACATGCTGCCATTCAATTGTCTTTTTGAGATAAGGCCTTGTTTACATCCTCACTAAACCCCATTCTGCGGGTATTACAACAGCGTTGCTTCATATTAAGAGCAGCTATAACTACCTGTATACAGTCTAGGCCTGTCAGTTCTTTTTTCAAAAATTTATGAAACAAAAGACAGCGGATTCTTGGGCAGAAAATCCTTTAACAAGGAAGACTGGGGAAGATTTTGCTCTCTATAGGTGAACATTTGGTCTCATTGGTTCCCAAACCCTTACAGAGTGCTGTTAAGAGAAGAGGTGATGCAATGCAGTGGTAAACATACCATGCTTCTAACTGTTTTTTGTGTGTTGCTGGCATCAAATTCAACACGAGCACATTTTTTTTAAACAAAATGTTTCAACTTTAATATCTCATAGGCTCTCTTTATACAATTTTTATATTTTATACAATTCAATGTATTGGTTACATTATTTTTATTTATTTATTTAGGTTTGTAGTCATGGTCCTGGGAGGATTGTGGGAATGTCAACACCTGGTTTTGTTTGGTGAGTGTTTGCCAGTATAATTTGCAATAGCTGTGCATGCACTCAAGAAACCACCTGTGAAACTAAACTGACAACAGGTGTTCCTCAAGGAGTCAACACTGATGCCTAACCTGTCTTTCCCTGTGTTCGACAGCTGCCCCCGCCGCCAGGGTGGCGGTGGCTGGCTGGGGCGCGGGCTAGTAGGGACGGTTGGCATCCTTTGGCCTCTTCAGTTGCACCTTGAGTCTTTTCATGCCGATCTGGAAGCCATTCATTGACTGGATGGCAGCTTGGGCACTACCTGGGTTGTCGAAACTTACAAACCCTGGGGGAAAGGCCAAAAGAGAGAGAAAGAGAAAGGAGGAGATATTGTTATATGAAGAAGCAAGAGCAGTTTGGGACACTAAAAACATGGAATGTGAAGATGAGTTCATTAAGATCCAATAGTCATTTACAGGTGTGTATGATATGAAAACTGGAACGATAATGAAAACCTTTAATCAGCACATAAAACTAAAAAACAGTTACCATTCATGAAACAACTAGTTGTAAGCGTAAATCTAATATAGTGTGATTATTAAAAAAAAAGCACATTAAACTAACATCACACAGATGTGTAATAGTATGACAACAACAACAGGATTACAGGATAATGGGGTTTTATAACTAAAACATCAATATGGTAGTGCAACATTTCAGTTTTGCTTTTTAACTTCCACTGTGATGTGGGGGGAAAAAAAGCGTCAAATAACAAATTAAAACCCGCATCACAAAAACGCCAACATGAATTGAGGAAATACATTAATGCAGCGTATTAGTGAGCGAAAGCTAATTTGCAAATGGGTTGCACCTGATGGACTCTCCATAAAACATTCTCCACAATCCATTTATAATTTGCCACATAATTATGCGTTCGACTACGCTGCACTGTCAGCAGCATGACGTGAGATGGCAGTTTTCTGTCTTTGCACGGCAGACTAACTGTGGGATTCTGAAGTTACGTTCTTGGCATGCATCCCTTTTTTTTGTTTTTAGCTGAAAGGAAGCTATAGTCAGGGGCATGCGACTGAAAAACCCACTTTTGTATTATACAAAATGTCACGAAGAGCACAGTCGTAATCGAAAGATAAAACGGGCCGCTGAGTTCTCAGATCTCAGCTGTCTGTAACGCTTGGAAAAGGAAAACAAAATATCCAAAGTATCCACTCTTTCTTATTAGTAACAGCACACCTGCAGAGGAAACGATCTGCTCTTTTGTTCATCTTTTTAAAGGGAGAGGTGTCAAGAGGTTTGGGGGTAGGGAAGGCGTGGGGGTGGGAAGGGAGTATTGACTGCAGTGCAAAAAAAGGGTGATTAGGAAAAAAAAAGAATAATAATAATCAGGAATAAATAACCAATAATCGTTTGGTTTTGTTCATTTTTACCCACCAAAGCATTTACTTTGGTTTGTCGCCCGATCCACAAACACTTTGGAGGAGATGACATTACCGAATGGCAGGAACATCTGCATCAGCTCTCCATCTCCAAACTCCTGAGGGAGGTGGTAGATGAACAGGTTGCAGCCTTCCGGTCCTGCATGGAAAGAAACGGAGAAAGGCGAGAGAAGAGAGGGGGAGGGAGAGAGAGAGAGATAAAAAGGCAAAGGTCAGAGAAAAGGGTCAAGGAAAGAGACGGGGAGTAAGAATGGGAAAGGCAGACCACGAGAGGAAAAAACTCTGTGATGACAGTAAGAAATTATTTAAAGTGTAAAGTAAAAGATAAAGAGGGTAGAAGAGCACATTGTTAGTCAAAGTGGGCTAAAAGGCAGTGAAAGTCAGTTGCCTCTGACAGCTTCTTATAAATGATGTATAAACTCAATTTTCTGCCAAAAATAGAATAATGTTGGTTATTTTAGAAAAGACCTACATTTTTTTTTAACATAAGCTCTCACAGAAACCAATCAAGATGAACATTTCAACATTTGATTGCGTAATTTCATCAGTTTTCTTTGTTTTCTAGCTGTGTCGGTCCTATGTGGTAGTTAATCTCGCATGTTTGGATTGTTGTTTTGACTAAACTAGAATTTAAAATGCATCAGAGTGAAAAACACAAAATAAATGTTCCAGTTTTCTGCATCAGACCATCTTTATGCCCAGTTTCACATTAAATTTTTTTTTCCTTAAATGTGTTTCTTAATATTTGCCTAGTTTTAAGGTTCCAGAGTTGCAAAAATGAAACACGAATAAAACCCATAAAAAGTGTAGAGCAGTTTTCTCCAAGGCTTCAGTCACAGTTGAATGGTAACCTTAAGTTGTCAGGTGATTGCTGAATGTTAAGTATCATGAAAACTAACAACCTTCATACTGATAATTTTATGGCACCCCTTACTATATGACTCCCAAATGCTTAAAATATGGCCTCTGGGTTGCCACAGCTGTGAAATCATCTGCAATTTTTATCTTAACTTCCACAAGAGGGCAGTAAGGTCCCAGGCATGGGTGTTGAGCTTGGCGGTCATTCGGTTCATGAGAAGGCTTACAGCTGAGTTTGAGATGCTCAGTAATATTCTTCTTTTTCTTTTTCTTTGACTCATTCTCAACTCTGTCCTCTGTTTTTTTTATATTACCGAACCAAAAAGCACCAATAATAAAAAAGCTGTTTTGTATCAGGTAAACAAAAACACCCCAAAACACTGCTGAATATTTGTACTTTTCGTAAAAACTGACTGGCAACATTTCAAATCACCCCGCCAGCGTGTATGAGTATTTCAGGAGCATGCCGTGCGTGAGCGTTACCTTCTCGCTGCTGCTGTGGGATGATAGGTGGAGGGTGGGGGAAGGCTTGGCTGATCTGGCCGTATGCAGCGGGGTAGGCTGCTGACACACACAAACACACACCGCGGATCAGATAACAGTCATGACTAGAGCGCACACTTGTATACATATAAACAATGTGATATATGCAGGGGCACAGCAGGCAATCGATCAGATAGCGCACAATAGAGTCTAACGTGTTGCACACCCGACGCGGTGCAGAGAACAAACTGATGGAGTGAGACTGAAACATTTAATGTTACAATATCAAAATTTTAATTTCGAACAAAGGTATGCTTATCCTTGTCCTGTTTTCCGTAGTCTGGCCTCCCTTCCTACTGTACACACACACACACACACACACACACACACACACACACACACACACACACACACACACACACACACACACACGCATACATATGCAGACACACATATCATTGGTGCAGTGAGAGTGACAGACAGACCTGCATACTGCTGGACTCCTGTGTAAGCCTGCTGGAGAGGATCAGCTGCAGTGGGACTTTGAGCTGCTTCAACAGAGACACAGAGAAGAGAAGAAAAAAGAGGAGGAGGTGGTGGTGGTGGGGGAGCACAGATGGATGGAGGTGTGTGTGTAGGGGGAGCGAGACAGAGGGAGAATGTAGATGGAGGAGAGGGCACGGAGGAAGGAGAGAGTAATATATAGCAGGGATGAGAAGGAGGAGAGCGATGGAGAGAAGAAAAAGCAGAAAGGTTAGCGAGCCGAACAGCGTGGAGTCAACTCACTTCACTTCGGTGTGTGAGGAACTGAATTCTGAACCTCTCCCTTCTCTTTTTCCAGACCCTTATACTTAAAAGTTTCCCCCAAAGCATTTCAAAAGTTTTCTTCTTCTTCTTTTTTTAAGAAAAGCAGGAAAGCAAAACTTTGATAAACCACAGTTAAGACCAACACACACACACACAAAACAAAAAAGAAAACAACCAACAACACATGGCTCCACTGTCACCACAACAAAGAAAAAAATGTACCTAAACGTGTGCCTATCACAGAAAACCTAAAAAAAAAAAACAAGAAACACATTTATTTTTCACATGTACAACAACAGGACGAGCACAACGCACGTAACAGTGGATACGCCTGCTGCTTTCACTTCACATGTTCACAGATCTACAGCAAACTCTCCCTGCATCTGAACTACCGCCGGCACTGTGCCGCACCTTAATGCTACACACCCGTGCGTACAACGCATGCACAATAAATACACCACTGAGAACACACACACACACATATACACACACACACACACTGATAAACATGTACACACTGATAACGCCAGTATCCTTTAAAACCAAAGTAACACCGAGCACGCAGTAACACTGGAAAAACAGCAACAGATAGCCAGAAGAAAAGAAGAAGAGTTATGGGCTCAAAGAACCTTTAAAAAAAAAAAAAAAAACAGGTGAAATCCTGTTCAAAAATAATTCAGCTGTCTGTGTTATTATCATCCTTTGTAACACTGTGATACATTTTGCCAGGGGAATTGCAAGTTTGTGAATGTAGCAGCCACAGGGATAGGTTTATTCTAACAAGATGATTTGTATTTGTATACACTGCAAAGAACTTTTCTTTATGACAGTGTCTGGAAACACGAAGTCAGAGTCTTTTTCAGAGCATATTACAGAGCAGAAAATATTTCAGATATTTGAAGCAATATAAATCTTTACTGTTCACTCACAAACTTGAATTTTCCCTCTTTCTTTCCTTCTTTTTAAAATGTTTTAAATGTAAAAAGAAAGAATGTTTGGTCCCAATGGCTTTGAAATGATATCTTCCTGTCCCTGAGCTCAGAAAGAAAAGGGATGAGGGATGAGGGTGGGAGGGAAAGAGCGCTACCTTCGGAGAGAGATGAGAGGAAGCAGCCACCCTGAACCCCAAAACAACTCCGCGGAGCCACGCCCAAGCCGTTTTTCTCTGAGTCCTCTCTAAAAACCACCTCCTGCAACACTGGGGAGACAAGACAACCAAACACATCCAATAAGGTACTAACCACGGCTCATGACACAAGCGCATAGTTAGACTCCGGCAGCCCGGACGCCTTTGCCAAACGATAATCGCCTCAACTTGCTTGCTTTCTGTGGACTACATTCGTCTGGCCTCACCCCCCATGAACATGCTTAAAGGCTATCCTAGTGTGTAAGCCAACATCATGCACGCTTTTCCTGTTGATGGCTGCTTTACAGTGGACGTGTGTCTACATTGAAAAAAATCATACTTTAACATTTGAATTTTTGTGTGTGTGTGTGTGTGTGTGTGTGTGCGTTTGTCTCTGAGATGATCATATTTACCAGGATAATGGTGTATCCCGTTGGTAAAAACTGCTTCTGCGGGGGGCTGTCCATTTGCCTGCGGGGGCGGCATGCCAGTAAAACCATTTACACTAATTGGAGATGGGATGCTGGTCACTGTGGGGGCGCTGATGCCTGGTGGAGTACTGCCACCTGCAGCCATGGGGCAGACAGACAGAGACAGAGAGAAACAATGCAATTTTTCCACCCCGAGGACATTATGGAAAAGTTTTACTTTGACTGGCCACCTAGTAACTCTTGCAAATGTCAGGAGGGCCGGTCCAGTGGGCCGGTGAAGACACTAAATGTCAGGGCTGATTTCTTGTCCAAGTATGGCCCTTACAGTGAAACAACAGCCATTAGATGTGACCCTCAGACGTATTTTCTGAGACTAGTGAATACTGTGTTGATATCAAATGATTGCTAATTATGTGTTCCCAGAATGATCTTCTTTTACATTCCTTGGGTGTATCCAGAAACATGCATTTTCTTCCTTTCGGCTGTATCTTATTTCCACTGCAGTCTTAGAGTCGGGTCTTAAAAGAATAAACTATTTTTAGTCATTAATATTACACTTTATTAAACAGCTGGTGCTGCTGTTTTCAAAAGGATCTCATACTTATATTCGATTTTCCACATCTTATTTTAATGTCTTCGCTTTAGACGGCATGATGGAAGTGAATAAACAAAAAAAAATCCTTTTATCCAGACTGTTGTGTCATGCAGTGCAGATATATTATGTTGTAGGGCCATGTTAACACTTCAGTCAGCCAATTTATGGATTGCATTTATATAGCGCTTTTCAAGGAAAGCCATATCGTGCCATCGGCCCCTCTGGCCAACACCAGTAGGCGGTAGGGTAAAGTGTCTTGCCCAAGGACACAACGACCAGGACAGAGAACCCAGGGATCGAACCAGCGACCTTCCGGTTGCAGATGCGCTTCCCAACCCCCTGAGCCAGTTTTAGTGTTTGAGTAAATCTGTAACCACAGTAACCAGGTGTTTAGACTAAAGAATCAACCTGATGTATTTCTTTGATGGATATGGTTATTCAATTTTATTGATTTATTTTATGTTGTATGTACTTAACCTTAAGATGACCTTTATGACCTGTAAAGACTTTTATGAGCACTCAGTAGCACTGAGTGCTCATAAAAGTCAAAAGTCTCATGTGCACAGATGGAAGGTTTAGGGTTTCAGATTTGGGTTCTTGGCTTCCAGTGACACCAGATTGTCTGCTGTCAGCCCCCCTCTGGAACATTAATGCTAGCTTGTGCTCATGTATATTTATGTATAGAAGTATAATCCACAATGCATGCACTGTGGTAGATGCACTTTCTGAAAAAACTCTGATAGGTACTTTAACAATTGACCTTAAACCAGTTACCTGACGTGGGAGTCAGCGGTGCTCCGGGGAGGCCATTGATGGTGGCCATGTGCTGCATCTGGGCAGCAGCAAAGGCTGCCATTGGACTGAGGTAGCCTCCTTGGCCTACAGATGCCATCAGTGCTGCTTGCTGCTGCACCTTCAGGTGGTGAAGAAGAAGGGAAAGCAGAAAGTAATAAAAGTAAAGACCTGTGAGTCTGAGCTAAGCAAAGCAAGACAAAAAAAGCATAAGAAGTAGAGCTATAGCAGAAATGCTGCTACAGAGATGGGAAACAGCATATTAGGAGGTGAAAACCATGTATTAAACTTTATAGAACATCTATCCTTTAATTTTTTTTTTTTAAATTAACATTTGACTTGATGACTTTTGCTTCTTCTTTTGCCTTTTCAAATTTAAATTTGAGCTAAGCTCGAGCGCTCTGTTTAATCTCTGTGGCTCACTGAATAAATAACTGTGGATAAAAAAAGGAGTTCTGTGGGGCATCTTGCCTGAGCGTAGGCTCCATAGGCTCCAAACTGCAGGGCCATAGGGTTGAAGATGCCCATCTGACCAGCCATCTGCTGCATGCGGCGTATGGTGCGCTCCTTATCCGTGTCGGCGAACTTTACCACCAGACTGGATGAGGCCCCCTGTGCACCCACCCATCCACCCACACACATACACACACACACACACACACACACACACGCCAGGAAGTACATGTTAATGTGGTTCGATAGACGTCTGACATAAGCTTGCATTAGCACACATACACACATACTGTTTTAAATCTCTGGCCAAGGCAATGGCCCCCAGAGCTTTAACTGGTGCCCATTTTCCCCAAAAAGTCCTGATGGGTTATAACTAAAAGGGACATTCCATGTTAAGTCAACCTTACATTCTCATGTAATTTTTTTACATTTTCATAATTTCCTGTTGCAAGGCTTCCGTTATGAATATATTCCAATTATTAGAGCAATTTAAATATTTATGAAAAAAGTGCCACTTTTACAGAAGGGCAAAATCGTACTTTTTTGCCTAAATCATAACTCACAAGTTGAGTGGTTTCACAAAGCTGCTCAGCAATACTTTATCTCCACCATTGTGCTTGTGGGAACAGCTGGATAATTTGTGTGGAATCTGCCAGATTTGGGAGTATTCTATGGGATTTTTGTCAGATACAGCAACAAACACAAAACAACAAAAAAGCAAAACATCAAGACAGATCTTGACTATTTTCCCCTGAAACCTGTAAAAAAATATTACCAGTACTAAATACATACATGTACATGTGCAGGTGAACACATCGCTATGCACTCTGAATTTGGCTCATGTAAACAAATTCTTTTTCATAGCTCTTAGTTTTGACTGTCCAATCAAACAAACGTTTTCATCAGTGGTAGGCAATGTGAGCTCACTCTCATTGCACTGTAAGCTATAGAGATATAACAGGTACAATGAATAAAATATGAACAATGTGAAAATGTAATTGGTGCTTCAGATAAATTCAGAAATGCCTGTTGGACTCCTTTAATGAGCCACTCTTCAAACTTTTACTGCCAGCCCATTGCAGGTTGTAGGTACTATTGTAGCTGATGTAATGCAGCACAGTAAGCTGCAATGTAAAATATCTTCCTAGTGTACGAAACACCACATATGCAAATTACCCATATAAATGCACCGTATCCATGAAGAATGTTTAAGATTTCAGATGCTAATAAGATCCAAATGGTTTATTCGAGGGCTACATGCCTTAGTTTGTTTATTTTGCTTGCACTGGAGGTTCAAGGTAGCGAACTGACCAGAGGATGTGTACACTGTCGACATCAGGGGATGGATACGCTCAGTAACAATACTCAAGAGGGCTCTGGCATTTAAACAATGCACAGTTTGTACTAAGGGACCCAAAGCGTCCCGAGAAATTGAGCCTGTGTGATTTATAGCCTCAGTTTTCTATTCTTAGCTGACAGGGGTGGCACCTGGTGTGGTCTTCTTCTGCTGCTGCTGTAGACCCACCTGCTTTGCGGTTCAACATGTTCTGCATTCAGAGATGCTCTCTGAGTTACTGTTGCCTTTTCAGCTCGTAGCACTCTGGCCATTTTCCCTTGACCTCTGACATCAGTACTGGATATTTTCCCTTTTTCCAGACCATTCTCTTTAAACTCTAGAGATGATTGTGCTGGAAAATCCCAGCAGATCAGCAGTTTCTTCAAAGTTCAAAGCAATTGATAATTATTTAAATGTGCTGCCTTTGTAAATTTAGTGAAAAATGTAACTACATCTGTCCCAGGCTGAACTTTTTTTTAAATATGTGAATGTTTAGCAGTTTTTAGCAGCTATTTCTTTTTAAACAGCAGAACAGGATGACAGATAAAAACTGCTGCAAAAAACAAAAATAACAACTGTGCCTACCAAAATTATAGGTATACAACATTTCCCAGTAGTCCTAATCCACTGACTATAATTTAAGCAAATATTGTGCATATGATCACCTCTTCTTTAGAGGACGCTGTAACTTGAAAAATATTTCCTCTATGGGTCTAATATTTGAGAAATCTCATGACATAGATTCATAGATTCATCTTTCAACCCAGGAAAAAAAAAGTGTAAAAAATGGCTCAACTGAGATGGAAAGATCGAATAGCCCTAAGGACAAATTTCCTCACTGGGACTGATAAACTCCAGCCCGAGTTAAATTTATAAGGAATATAAGCAGTATTTGAGTCATCTCCCTGTGTGACTCACCTCTCTCACACACCTACATGCACGCACGCAGTTACTCACAGGCATTGTCTGGCTCCCGTGTAGTGCACCGATGGCTGCCTGAGCTTCAGCATGAGAGGAGTATTTTACAAACGCACAGCCTTAAAGAGAACGAGAGAGAGGAGAACCTGAGTAAGGGGATAATGAGATCGTGAGAACAAAGGGAAAAAAAAGTTTCCTGAGAAGTATATCATACAGTATCACAACAAAGCATTTATAGTAACAATACAACAAGCAGACAGTCCCCCCCCCTCCTTTTTTTCCCACCTGGGATAAATTTTCTACAGTAACAAATATTTAGTGAAGAAAGCCTCCTTTGCTGCGGATTGCTACATCAATGTTGATCGAAGCTCAGCAGACTAAATGTGCCAATCTGGCGTCATTAACGACTTCGAGGATCCTCAGATAGCGCTCAAAATGCTACAGCGTTTTGGTGTCGCTTACTATTGACAAGCGCCGTTGATAAATTTGAGTGATCAAGTTCTCAGTAATTATTGAGCTAAAGCCCACTTAGCTGAGTAAGCTGGCTGATGAAGCCTTGTTAATGGAGCTTCACGGAGGAATCAGAATGATCAAGCCCACTGTAATCATCAGGCTTAGTTATCATCGAGTTTCATTGATTAGCTGCTAAGCCCACTGATGAACTTCATGCGGTGAACTTGTGTAGCACTCTGACAACATTTAAAAAGGGGCATTTTTCTGGCATGACATGAAGCCCGATGGTTAATAAGGAGGGTGACTTATTTTTTTTTTCTTTATCAGAGCCTTGTAGGTTGACTCACGAGGTTAATGGGGTTCATCTGTAAAGAGCTGCTGGTTTGTATCTCTCGTCCCTTTGGGCGAAAGCTTTCAAATGGCATTTACTGTTGAAATTTACTGAATCTCCGGTATTCTTATGTAACGACTCCTCTGATGATTGTGAAATAGCCCGCTTTGACATCACTCAGCGCGGAGTGTTTTAAGAAGAACTTTGCAAAGTCACCAACTTTGAAAGGCCAAATCATTTCTGTGCAGTAGCCTGTGAAAAAAGTCTGCCGGCTCAAAGTCATAAACAGCTATAAACTCACCTTTGCTGTTTCCGTCGGGACCTCTGAGGATGGTGCATTCCTCGATGCTGCCGAAGGACTCGAAAAGGCGCCGCACATCATCTTCTGACTGTTGCTTGTTGAGCATGCCCACAAAAAGCTTTCTGTCTTCTAAAAGGAAAAAGGAATAGGTCACGATCAGGAGATCAGGAGATCAGGAGATGCTTTTTGGTATTCTACAAAGAGACGTGCTGTGTCGCTTAGACGGAGGCATTTTTGCTAAGCCTTAGATACACAAGCACCAGGTCAAATATCAGATGCAGTTTTGTTTTGTGATATAGTCAATTGCAACAATTTTCAAACTTGAAAATCTGCTTGATTAAGTTTCATTAGAAATTCAACTTTATTTGTGTTAAAAACAACTGAGTTGAAGCTACACGCCAAAAAGAGAAAGTTATAGTAGAATAACAGTTCACAAAAAGTTCATAATGCTAGAAAAAATAATTATGTAATGTAATCTAATGCTGCAGTCCTAGTGTATTTCTAATTCAATGCTGTTCCTGAGCTGAAAGTCTGTAATGTGCATTTTAAATGGACTAGCTGATTGGTGTATTATGTTATTATTTAGTATGCAGTCTATTTGAGGTGCACAGCTGTTTCTGCATATTCACTTTAAAATGTATTAATACTGTTTACTGTTTAACCAGCTGCCCATTGCATATTTGCAGGGCACCATAATCAAGGCGAGGAAGCCCTTTTCTGTGGAGTCTCTGTCCTTTGGGAATATGACTACCCCATGGCACAGTATGTCTGATGCTAACAACAATGTTCTCTCTCATCACATTCAGTGCAGCTTGCGTGACACATGCAGTGTCTGTGGTAAATGTTTGCCACTGTATAAGTTGGCTATGCTGCTGGTTTCACGTGTCACGCCCCCTCTGCAACCTCAACTCCTTATGCAGCGGTAGCGCGAAAGTTTCTGTTGCCCTGGATTTAATTGCTAATACCTGACAAGGTGTGGCAGGGAGACCAGACACTGTCATGCTCTCTCTTGGATGTTGGTGTCGTTTTTAGCTAAAAATATTTAGTAAATTAAAATAAAGCCCATGTTTCTAAAAAAGAAAAAAAAAAGCAGTGTGGAGTCAATCTCCGATTTATGTTGGAGCTTATGAGCCAGGTCATAAAAGATGCCAAGGAAAGATGTTCTCCAAGTTTTATGAACGCTGTTGCTAGGTAATATTTTCCCTACATTTATACTGAGAAAATAAGCTATTTTCTGCTCTGTATCTTTTTTTATATTTCTGGACTTCATCTGTTTCATCTTGCTTTGCACTTCCTTGACAAAAACAGGTAGTGCAAATAACACTAAACAGAATATGGAGTATTAATAGCTATGATGTTATGTAGAGAGATTATCTTCTTCTTCTTTTGGCTGTTCCTTCCTTCCTACCTCCGTCTCATCCTATCCCTAGCATCCTCCTGTGCCACACCAACCCACTTCACGTCCTCCTTCACCATATCTATGAACCTCATCTGAGGGCTTCCTCTTTTCCTCCTGCCTGGCAGCTTCATCTTTAACATCCCTTATGTTGCGATGATGAGATATTTGACTAAAGTTACTTTCATATAATACCACTTTGTACCTCAAGAAGGGATAGTGAGTCAGTGTAGCAGCAATTCCCTCACTCAAGCGTGAGAAGAAATAGTGCTGCCCAGAGATTTGGTGGGTTTTTTTTTAAATTTCATTCAGCAGGAAAAACAGTCAGGGAATGAAACTGTAAACATAACTCTGGCAGAGTGACAGTTGAGAGAAGATTAACAGGAGTTACCAAGCGAGCTGGCCAGCTAGTCCAGCTTATGCTTCCTCTCACACTGCCCAGGCCACCAGTATTAAGAGATGATGGGGACTTGTAACGAGCAACGGGCGTACAGCAGATCATCACGGAGGCTGGTTGCAGAGCTTTTATGGTTTTGTGTTTTCTCATTACTTGTTTTTGTTTTCAATTCGGTTTAGTTTCACTTGGTTTCCAGAATGGCTTTGCTTTAGTTTAGTGTTCATTAGTTGTAGTCTTTGTTAATTATTTTCATACAGACGTTATTTGTCAGGGGGAAGAATTGGAAAATAAAAGCAAAGATGTTTTCATGCATAAATGCTTAGTAAAGAGGGTCCGACGCAAGTTCAGAAAATCATTTCAGCTAGTCTTGTTTTATTTTTGTTGGTTTTTGGTTAGTTTTTGAATGATTTCTATGCTGTAGCAATGTCTCACAAAGGCAAACCAGCACTGCTGAGACATCCATATGACATGGAAATAAAAGAAAGCAATACGAAGCACCACTCAGGATTCTGAGCAGTCACTGCTTTCTACTGTGAAGCAACAGTGGTCTCTTCTAGAGCGAGGTATTTGTGGCAAATTAAATGGTTTTGTTTATTTATTTATGACTGCCTCCTGCACCCCATCCACCAGGAGTCATACTCTTCAGTTCCATTGTGGAAGGAAATTTCACCAAGTCCCTCGGTCCTCCCGAGGATTCCACAACATGTCGTAATTTTCAAACCAGAATATGAATGATCTGAAAACTCTACCATGTTGAATGTTATTTGTGCAGATTCTACAGAAAATAAGCCACCAAGTGATAATCATCTTGTATTAAATGTTATGTGTAAATAAATGTGAATGCATAATGTGTGGTGAGACAACATCCTGTAAGCAGCATCCTAGTAGCTGTTTCATCAGATGTTTTTGTCAGATATGAAATGGCACGACAAGATAGAAACTCACAATGACAGTGTGACAATGCATGGGTCTTGCTTGTCACATCAGTCTGACATTTTTTTCCCCCATTGAATGAGTCATTTAAAATTACAACCTATAGGCAAGGAAGTGCGCCTGTCACAGGTGTCAGATATGAGAGAAGGCAGCTGTGTGGGTGTGCCTTTCCTCAGGTCAGAACATGATTAAAATTTAACTAAGGTCAGTTCCCTAGTCTTGCCAGTGAACTTTTCCTTCCCCCCCCCCCTTCCCCCCCAAAGAACAACATATGTATTGTCATTATTATTATACAGAAGTAGGAAGTAATATGCATAAGTCAAAGATTATGCTGAATCCAGGAGACAGCTGTATGAATGTGGGAGGCTATGCGCATATTTTTCCCATGGCTAAAGAAAAGCTTTGCTAAGACCTTCGAAGCAGCATACCTACTTTCTGTATAAGGTTACAGCAGGTAAAGCGTCAGGAAAAATACTTTATCATTTCTCACGGCCAACACCTAATGCATTTATGGGTCTAATTCTCATTTATGAGCACGTAGCAATAATCCATTTGCATATATTAACTGCTGGCCTCTTCTTTGGCAAAAAGCCTCCACCATATTTATGCCCAAAATGCTGACGTGAAGTAACTTGATTACATGTAAAACTTACACGTAATTTTGGTACAAAACATTAAATTTAATGCAACTGGTGAAATTAAATGCATTTGATTGGTATACACTGAGTTTATACTAAACTATGTTTTTCAATGATTAGTTTGATTGAATTTGAGTTAAAAAACATTTGATTTTATATATTTCAGTTGCATTTTACTCAAAATTATTGTGTCATGTTAATGAGGGCCAGCACTCTTTTTTTTTTTAGTGAAGTAACTCATAATTAAAACCTAATTTCTTTCTTTTTCACTGCCAATTTTTTCACATATAAACTTACAGGCTGTCAAATACATTGTAGAACGTTATAATCGGATACAAATCGGTCATTCAGGGTCTCTAATAAAATATGGACAGACCAAGGTTCGGCATCAGTTCATTAGTGTCAGCGTTAGTCGAGTCACTCAATGAGTGGTCGAGGAGAATTGTGAAGCTGAGAGCGAAAGTGTGCTGGAAGCGAAAGCAGCAGATGTGTCGATGTGCATGGCTGTCATCAGTTCCCGCGTCGCAAAGAATCTGAGCTTTGTGGAAAAAAGGGGGTGTATACGTTCGGAAACTAATGAGCCTCAGTGCAATTGAGGCTCTGAATGTGCTCTGCAAATTAATGTGTGTCTAGGTGTGGGTATCCGCGGGCGCCCGTGTGTGCGTGCATGCGTGTTGAGGGTCCGTTCCCCGCTGCTTGTGCCTGACAGGGTGTCCTTGCCAAGTCAACAAGACTAATCTGCGCTCTGGCCTTGCACCGGGGGAGGGGGCAGGGTGGGATGGTGAGTGTTTACAAGAGTGTAGCGCATATCAGAGGTGGACACACATATGCACAGGCACGCACTCGCAAATCTTGAAATGTTTGCACCCCCACACCCTCCTCCTCCTCACATCTTCTCAGACACATACACATTCATAGTACACACCTCAATGGTGCCCAACAATTCTCCAGGGAAGCCACCAATAAACATTACATCTTTCTTTGTGAAAGGACTTACACACACGCGCACACACACTCATATTCAGCAAGAGAGCAAATCAATATACACCAGAGTCTCAATAACGATGTAAAGCCCCCCCTCTCTCTCACGCACACAGACAGTACATGACAGTGGCTCTCCCCGATCTCCCACTACAGTAATATTTAGTTGGCTCGAGTTGTACCAGGATACATAAAAAGTATTAGTTTCCAATTTCATTATTGATTTTTGCCACACTTAACAGTACTCCTTTTTTTTATCACTTGCACAGACCCATCTTCACTAAATCAGTTTTCACACATGAACTCAGGGTCAGGGTAATCAGGTGTCCCCAGTTATCCTTTCTCACACACGTAGCGCACTGTAGCAGATGGCCAGCGTTATCTGCAGACTCAGTACTGGAAATACTGTTTGGTTTAGGTGAGGGAGATGTCTGACTAGAGCAAGCACAGAGCAGGATATAGGACACTCGCTAGCTGTGAATTTGTTGGACAAAGCTGTTTTTTTTCAAGATCAAGGCACATTAGTGCACCTGGTCATCAGGCGGTCTTTGTACTTGGAAGCTGGCAAGTTAAAGGTCTCTTAATGTCAGAACTGACTGTGTGGCACGTTTTCATTCTCACGAAGCTCGATCAGAGAAGTTATGACTGAAAGTAGCTTCTCCTTATTTGTTAACAGTGGTGGAAAGCAATGTGCTTATTGAATCAAGTGCTGTACTTGAATCTCATTTACTTTAATATTTTTCAGTTTTTGCTATCTTATTGTTAAAGTAATTTAAAGATGAAATATTGTATTACTTACTCCAGTGCATCTAGTTTTATTTTATTAGAAAGCCATAGTCTTCAAGTTTCAATCTTGCATTTAAACTTATGACAAGCATTTAAAATCCAGAGCATTAAATCAGTGGGTCGAAACCTGTTGGCTTCTGGCACTGTTACAATAAGAAGCGCCTAGTTGGTGATCCATGCCAGTTTTTTAGATGTGAAGTATTTGCTACTATTTTACCCTGAAAAGGTAAAATAATAGTAAGTACGGTGGTGCAGTGGTGCACTGCTGCCTCACACCAAGAAGGTAGAAATCTGACCGAGATTTTTGTGTGAAGCTTGCATGTACTCTCCGTGTGGGTTCTTTCTGGGTGCACTGGCTAGTACTTAAGTGAATTGGTGATTCCTAAATTGCCTGTAGGTGTCTCACTGTGTTAGCCCTGTGACAGCAATCCGTCCAGGTTATACCCTGCCTCTCATCCTGCGGCACCACCAAGTGCTGTAACATCTTGTATCAACACTGGTTTTAGCTGAGTAATATCACACTGAAATGTATGTAACTGGGTTACAAGGGGCTAGAAGGTACCACCAGTACACTTTAAAACCAGTATATAAAAATTCAAATGCACAAATGTTAAGATTTTATTGATAACAGGTTACGATTATGTTATCAATATAATTGTTTTTGCCTTGTTTTTTGGCATACATTTGTTTTTTTATTATCATCACCAGTTTCTGACCCCTTATTACCCCATTACACAAACATACTCAGCTAAAACCGCTGTTGATAAAAGATGATACCTACTGGATACTGCCATACTGGATATAGATTTGGTATTTAAGTGGTAATAACTTGCTATCTCCATATTATTACCTTCTTATTCCTTCCCTTTTACCCCATTATTACCACATCGTTGCTGAGCTGTAACAGAAAGTGCAACTGAAAGATGAATTATTCCTCCACCAGTACAATTTAACACTCTGGCACTATATTATATTGCTTTGCTTTCCTGTGTGAAAATATGGGATCAAGAAGTAAAGAAATTTCCTGGAAAACCAGCAGTGTAGGGAACTAGATAAGAGGCAGAGAAGTATGGATGTCTTGCCTTGCCTTCACTTTCCTCATTCTCAGTGTTGCCTCTTTTCTCCCTCTTTCCATCAATCATTCTCAGAGAACCAACAAACTAAACAGAAGAAGAAGTTGCGGATTCCTTGCAGTTTTATTTATTTATTTTTTTGTACAAACTAACACCTCTCTCAGTCTGTAGACATCCACTGCTTATCAACCTTATCAACGAACTCCTTGCATGCTCCATTTCTTCTCCCCCCCTCCCCTCCCCTCACCCTTTCCATCTTTCTTGTGCCTGGAGAATCACTCTGGTGCCTGTTATATTAAAAACTGAAAACTTTGAAAGACTTCAGCCAAAATTGGTCAGACTGCATCAATCTTGTCTTGTACAGTCCATTGATTGATGTCAGGAGCAGGTCACTACTTGTCTAGACATAGAAAATTCGCTTTAAGCGGCCTTAGCTGTCAATATGGCGCGCTGCACACAAAATACCAGACCGGAATTCACTTTCATTGACACAGACCTGTCATTTACATTTTCAGTTCATTTGGCTGACACAAGCTTGTGACATTAGTCAAATTGGGTTTGCTTTGTTTGTCTTGGTGTTTGACAAACAAAGTGACCTGTTTCCCCCTCGAAAATGACAGGTCATGCGTATCTCCGTGTATGCATACGCGTTTGTACATGCATCAGCGCATATGATGAGACTCAAGGAAAGGAGCTAGAGGCTACACTGGCCAGGAAGAGCGCCGTTTACATAATGTGTTCTGAAAACTGGAGCGCTGTCAGCCCGCGTCGAGGTACGGGGCATCGTTTAATAGGACAGATAATGGTGAGGCTGATACGCGCAGGCAACATGCTTGAAGGGCTAGAACAAAGAATGGAAGTGGAGGGAAAAAAGGCAACAAAGAGGGGCGTACAGTACCTCCTCGACTCTCACTGTCTGCTGGCTTCACCTGGATCGGTCTGTTCATCTGTGACATAGAAAGAAGAAAGCAAGAGACAAAGAACCCAGTTAGCATCATGTAATGGCACATGCTTTTACCCCCCACCCCCAACCTCCCCCCCCCCCCTCCTAAAAAAAACTTTTTTAGAATCACTCAGCCGCAATTGAGGGTAAAATGTATTGAAAATCTCCAAAGCTGCAGCACTTACAGCCATTGGGGGAATAGCTGGTTGGGAATATGGGTTGGAAATATTATTTGATCTGAGATGAAAGGAGAGAGAAGGGTTGGAAAGGGGGATAAGCAGAGGGATGAAGGGAAAGATAGAAAGAGGGGATGATAGAGGAAAGGTAACACCGGGTCAGCAGAGCTACTGCGAATGTGTCTGTCTCTAGAGGTTTGATGTGGCACCACAGTATTATCAGTGTGGGCTTTGTGTTTTTATGTGATACATATGCACGTACAGCGCAGCCAACACATACAGTACATACTGTACAGTGAGACTCTATCTTACATGGGTTTTCAGACTCCTAAGCCTCATTGCAAATTGTTCTTGCACAGTCTTCTTTTAGCCTCACACACCAGTACACACGCGTGCGTGCGTGCGCGTGCATGCGCGCGCGCGCACACACACACACACACACACTCACACACACACACACACACACACACACACACACACACGCTGTCCCCCACTGAGACCTTTCCACACTGTGTCCGCCGAGGCCCTCCTTTCATTTCACTCCTGCCTGTCAAAATTTTCCTCTCCGCCTCGCCACCCTGCTAAACGCTCACCACCAATCAATTTTTAATAATGCCAATCGCCATGCTGCCAGGAGGAATAGAAGGGAAGGGAGAGAGGAAAGGAGAAGAGATCAGAAGAGAGGAGAAAAAAAGGAGAGGAGAGGAGAAGATGGGGCATGTGAAGGATGAAAGGGAGAAGGGAAAGGTCAAGGTTCTGTGTGATGCAGAATCAGTGTTTTGCAAAATGTCATTAAAATCTTTTCTTTTGAATTTGCTGATATAGTCATCACCCTTATGAATCTGCAAGCTTTCAGATGATTCCCCAAAAGGCAAAAAACTTTGAGCACGAGGACACGAGGACGCGGCGCAAACACAATTAATGCTCGGACCTTCACCCTTTTCTGGCGCTTTTCAGCTGCTAATATTAAATCACATCATTCCCCACAACACTTGAGTTACCCATTCCCTCATCTCCCTCGTCTCCTCCCTCTCTTTGACAGCCAAGAACCCTGCTAATGTTTTTAATGTGCTGTGATGCATTATTTATCAGACTGGCTGTTGATATGGAAAAAGGACGAGAGGGGATAAAGAAAATGGGGAATGGAAAAAAAGGGAGTTAAAAATGAGTAAAAAGCGAGAGTACAGTCTTGTGAAAAAAAGTTTTCACAAGACTTCACAGGACTCTGTGCAATCCTGTGCAAAACTAAGTACACCCAGTCACAAACTGCTAATCAATTGACCAACAAAGTATAAGCACCTCTAAAATGCCACAATCTTCCCTGGAGTTGCTGGCTCAGCAAATTCAAACCAGGGTCAGATTATGCACCAAGAGCTACATTTCAGGCTCTACAGACCTCAGAAACATGATGCTAAAATGAACAAGTATGGCCTGTTGGAAGGGCTACCTTTCTATAAAGGACATGCCCAGTACTGCTAAGGTTTGCAAAGCTGCAACCGAACAAACCACAAGACTTGTGGAATAATGTCCTTTGGACAGACAAGACTGAAGTTGAGATGTTTGGTAATGCACAGTGCAACGCTTTGCAAAAACCAACCACAGCATGTCAGCGCAAACACCTCACACCAACTGTCAAGCACGTCGGTGGAGAGGTCATGATGTGGCCTTGTTCCAAAAACACAGGACTTGGATACTTTGCAGTCACTGAGTCGACCACGAATGCCTCTGCATACCAGAATATTTAAGAGTCAAATGTGAGGCCATCTATCCAACAGCTAAAGATTGGCCAAAAATGGGGCATGCAACAGAACAATAATTCCAAACACAGCAATAGTCTCCAACATAATGGCTGAAAAAGAAAAGAAAGGTGTTGCAATGGTCTGATTGAAATGCTCTGGCGGGACATTAAGAGAGGGCCAATGTCTCCACAATGATGTGAGACATTGATAAATTCATGGAGAAAACAATTACTCAAAAGTATTGCTGCTAAATGTGGCTCTGCCAGTTACTCATCAGGGTGTACTTTTTTTTTTACACGATTGGATGGATCGCTGTGAAAACTTTATTTTCACATGACCGTATGTGAATCAAAAAAGTGTTAGGTAAACAACTGATCGCAGGAAAGGTGAGATCACACTGGGTGAGAAAAGTAAAAAAAACTAAATGAAAAAAGTGAAAAAAGGGTGGCGATGGAAGGAATAAATGTAGTGATAAAAAAGGGAAGTGGGATAAGGAAGAAGAGTAAGGGGAGAGGGAATTAGGAAAACAGGACATAGGGGAAGAAGAAGATATGGATCAGAGTATGGGCAACGTCAGCTCAATGCTCCCGAGGGGGGCGGGGGTAAAAGCCTGCATACATATGAGCACTTTTACTATGATTCATACAAATAGTTTGACCTCAATCTTATCTAATTGTGTTCTACCTCAACTAGTTCTTTATGCAAGTGTCAGCATTAACCTGCATGTTATATGATAACACTGACCCACTGAGATTTTATTTAATTACGCAGGTCTTTATTTAAGTCTTCACTTGGAGTTTAGAGAAGCTACAAAAAACTATTTGGGGATGGCGATGGCAACAATATACAGTATGTGATATATACTTGATCTCTTATATGTAATAACATATAAAAAGCTAGATTTTATTAAAATAATAATTCCTCACTCTTAACGTGCAAAATCCCGTGAACCCGGATGAATTGGTGAATCCCTTAAATCATCATTGCCACTTGAGCACCAGCATGCGAAATGTCTGCTCATAAATTTTTAGATACCGTTCAAAATAATGTTAAGTGGTTAAACCATTATTTTCTTTTTGTCACTGAGGGCTGAGTGCTGTTTCATGGGCTCTCTATCAGTGGTTTCCATTACTCCAGGCCCATAAACTGCTTCAAGGTCAGCTTTATCATCCTGCTCATAATAGGGTGAGTTAGCACCAGCCCACTGGACAACTGATCCCAAAACAGTTGTTAAACCCACACGCTGACTCGCACAGATAGCTCCCCTCGGATGTCTGTGGTAGTGCTAGCTAAAGCCAGATGGCAGCATTGAGCAGGAGAAGCTCTCTTTAGCCTAATACCAGTGAAAAATCTCATTTACACAAAAGAGGCTAAAATCCATACATGCATACATATATATACACGCAGACATGAAATAAGAGTAAGTGGCTAAGCTCACATGACTAGACATGGATGCTTATCCACACAAGTCTGGCGCGTACACAGAACATGCAACAGCACAAAATAGGCCTATGCATCCAAGCGTGCGCGGGTCGGGAAATAAATAAGTGTAGGTATGCACAAAAGATATGTAAATGTAGCTTTGTGAGTCAACATGTGCAGTGCCTAAATTGGCTCATCTCACAGCACGCACACCTAATACCCTGTTTGTAGATCACTTTCTCTCCTCATCCTTGTAAGTGCGGTCGCCTGTTTTTCATTTCATATGCCTAAAAAAAAAACGAAAAAAGAATCACACACACACATGCTAAGCTCCATTCTTGCTGAAAGTCCACTTCAGCAGACTTGTGTTGAGAATGGCCTTGGTGTGTACCACATGATTGACAGCTCAAGAGGAACTGCAGCTACACAAATGCATGGGGGCACGCACACTCACACACATTCTTGCTACACTCCTCTGTTGATTATGTAACTCAATGACAGTGCTCTGCCTCAGTGCTGCCATAGATTCCCTGTTAACTAGAAGCTGAGGGAATACATGGTCTGCATGCAGTCTGTGCTCTACCAAACTGGTGAGTCATTCTTCTGAATCAGTGTGGCTTGAATGTCTAGCAAGGCCCACAAGATTAGCTCCAAGCAGTGTGGGACTCAAGCTTTGCCTTATTGGATTCTCCTTTGAAATGGGACAAAACTGAAGTCCTTGATCTGAGTTTTGCTGCTTACAGTATTGATTTCACTGTGTGCAAAGCACAAAAATGAAGTTATAGGAACAATATTTTGATGACAACTCTACGGGATTTCTTTTCGCTGAATTTCTTTATAGTACCTTGTTATGTCAGATGCACTTCAAATACAGTTTATTACAAGTTGCTCAAGGCAATGCCAGCATCACAAGCCACACACACACACACACACACACACACACACACACACCCACCACACCACCACACACACACACACACACACACACACACACAATAATGCATGCACACAGAGCTACATTAATACACAACACTCGCAAGGACACGAAAGTCCACAGTCACTCACACTCCCATCACTCTGTGAAAAAGAATATTGAAAGTATGCTTTACGAAACTCGGGAGAGGAGGTAGGATTTTCTCATTTTCACCCTCGTCTAGCAGATGTGTTTTTGAGAGAGAGTAGAGCAGTGCAGGCCAGGTCATTTCATTATCACAGTGAGAAAGCACTCCATGAAACTCTCCCAGGGAAGCAAGGAAGGCTGCTCGTAATATTCCTCCCTTACTATTGTCAAAACTTGCTCTATTTTACATTTTACAGTCGAAGGTCTTTTTCTTATTACATTCCAATTGCTTTCGTTTTGTCTTTATCCCATTTGAATGCTGAGATGTTTGGGGTTCTTTTGCTCTCTGCTCATACATATAATTACTGGTTCTTAAATGTGGTACACATAAAAGCATCTACAAAAAAAAGAGAACTGCTCCAAATGTTAAAATTATCTGCAGGAGCAATGTCACTGAGTGCAACTGTAACCAAATGCTGGTATTCATGTCAAATGAACCACTGGCACTCGACCTGGACCTGCTTTCCAAAGTATCTCAGCATGCATAACACTCATCTTGGGATGGAAACGCGCCAATGGAAACATTAGCTGAACAAATATGGTTATA